GCCCACCCTCCACCCCCCGCATGCATGTGTGATTCCCCCACATGCCCCCCACCCCCAACGCATGTACGCCAGAGATCCTGTAGCGATGGCTCGCATGCCATCAGAGAGGGCATTGTGTGCCACCTCTGGCATGCGTTGCCATAGCTTTGCCGTCACAGCCCTCCACCATTTCTGACAGATAGCAGTCCTGTCTCTTCTTGAAAGCTTCCAGGGATGAAGCTCCCACAACCTCCGAAGGCGACTTCTGTTCCATGGGTTGATTGTTCTCCATGTCAGAAAGTTCCTCCTGATTTCCAGGTTGAATCTCTCCTTGGTCAGTTTCCATCCGTTATTCCTTGTCTGGCCTTCAAGTGCTTTGGAAAATAGCTTGACTCTCCTCCTTTCTGTGGCAGCCCCTCAAATATTGGAAGACTGTTCTCATGTCTCCCCTGGTCCTTCTCTTCACTAGACTAGCCATGCCCAGTTCCTGCAACCGTTCTTCATAAGATTTAGCCTCCAGGCCTTTGCTCATCTTAGATAGATTCAGGTTAACAGATTTGGAAGGGACCTTGTAGGTCATCTAGTCCAACCCCCCCTGCCCAAGCAGGAGACTCTACACCATTTCTGACAGATGGCAGTCCAGTCTCTCCTTGCAAGCTTCCAGTGATTGAAGCTCCCACAACTTCCGAAGGAAACTTCTGTTCCACTGAATATAGAGTTGAAAGGGACCTTCTAGGACATCTAGTCCAACCCTCCGTGCCCAAGCAGGAGACCCTACACCATTTCTGGCAGATGGCAGTCCGCTCTTTTCTTGAATGCTTCCAGGGATGAAGCTCCCACAACCCCCGAAGGCAACTTCTGTTCTGTGGGTTGATTTCTCTCCCTGTCAGAAAGTTCCTCCTTATTTCCAAGTTGAATCTCGGCTTGAAGGACGGAGGGCTAATTCCTGAATAAACCTCAACAATCGCTCCAAGGGGGAGGGGAGAATTTAGACGCGCCTCTCTCTTCCGTTCTTCTGCAGCTGCCATGAAAGATCAAAGTGACTTATTCCTCCTTGCTCCTTTCCTGCAAGAAGAAAAAAAAATGGCATGTACCGGTGGTTTGGGACACAATTACAAACAATTTCTGATGTTGCCCTACTTGCTGGTTGTGGCACAAGGGCTTGTTAAATGAGTATCTTGTTTCCCACATCCCCCAAGCACCTGAGACATGAATTAAAATTGCATGGGGAATGCGTAGATGTATGTACTATGCACAACACTCAAGAGGCTTCAGATTTAGAACTGGAGTTTGCTTGGAGTTCTCCTAAACTTTGCAATGTTTTTATTGAATGGTGGGGAAAACCTAAGTAAACATCACCCCCCCTACATTTAGCACTACATTAGGGCCGTGATGGCGAACTTATGGTACATGTGCCAGAGGTGGCATACAGAGCCCTCTCTGTGGGCACCCCAGCCGAGATCCACTGTGCATGTGCGCACACTTCCCGACAGCCAGCTGCATGGCGGTGGGGCACATGTGGGGGATGTACGCGTGCATGCAGGGGGGGAGTGGGGTGCATGCACGGGGGATGCTCGCATTACATTTTGGAGACTTGCGCAGTACCCTTGCACCCCGTTTTGGCTTCCAGGTCAGTGCATGAGGCCTTCCAGGCCCAAAACGGGGCACACCGCCAGGCGAGGTGCCCTCTGTGCCTCGTTTTGGCCTGGAAACCCTCCTGCACCAATCTGTAATTGTAACTTTGAATCCAGGTTCTTTTTGGAGTCTGTTGTAATTTTGAATGGTTGCTGAGCAACTGGCTGTAAGTTGAGGATTAACTGTTAAACCAGTGGTGGGATTCATTTTTTTTACTGCTGGTTCAGAGGGCGTGGCTTGGTGGGTGTAGCTTGGTGGGCATGGCAGGGGAAGGATACTGTAAAATCCTCATTCCCTCCCCACTCCAGGGGAAGGATACTGTAAAATCCCCATTTCCTCCTGATCAGCTGGGACTAGGGAGGCAGATAATAGATGGGGGCGGGGCCAGCCAGAGGTGCTATTTACCGGTTCTCCAAACAACTCAAAATTCCCGCTACCGGCTCTCCAGAACTGGTCAGAACCTGCTTAAATACCACCTCTGCATTAAACGTGTGGCTCTCCTCTGAATGCTGGCGAAAGGCAATGAATTCTGTAGCACCCTGGGAACTGCCGTATTGTGTCTTTTAGAAACAACCGTCTCTCTGGCTGGGTTTCTGAGCCGTTGCTTCCCATTCCTTGCAGTGCTCTGCT